TCTTCCACCAACAATTTTTCTCTTATTGCCTATTCTGACACGGATTGGGCCAATTGCCCAGATGATTGTTGATCCACTAGTGGCTATGGCATTTATCTTGGCCCCAATTTAATATCTCGGAGTGCCTGTAAACAGCCCACTGTTGCACGATCTATTACGGAGTCTGAGTTTCGTTCATTGGCAAAACTGCTGTAGAGATCATTTGGATTCCACACCTTCTCGCCGAACTTGGTTTCAAGTCCATTGCTTCTCCTTTATCTGGTGTGACAATATAGGTGCAACATATTTGGCAGTGAATCCTATGTTCAAAGCCCACACAGAACATGTCAAGGTCGATTTTCAGTTTGTTCGTGACATGGTTATCAAGCATGAGCTTCAGGTTCAGTACATTCCACTGATGATCAATTAGCTGATGTGTTTACAAAGCCGTAATCACCTGCCAAGTTCTCATTCATTCGAGACAAACTCAACGTGCTTCAATGCCCGTTTAGTTTGAGGGGGCCTGCTAATGATAGCACTCAAGAGATACACGACATGTCTTGATAATGCCTGTCTGTGTGCAACTTGTAACGGTTTGGTTCCATTGTAACAGATTGACTCTCTTTGTACTCCCTTTATAACAGTCACTTGTCAATATAAATTTATGCCTTGGGTCTCTCAAAAACCATTGAGAGAGAGAACCCCTCGATTATAGTGTGTGGCTTACGTTTACACATACAAGGAACAAGAACATGGAAGCAAACATTACCTTGCTTGTGGTGAAAAACAAATTAAAACCGCACTTTCTGGTCACCATCATAAATGCTGCCTCATTCAAGTATTAATTTGAGATAGCTGGATTAATGAAAATACAGGTGGTCCATGGAGGCTGGAGCACCTTCTGAACAAGGCCAGAGACTTAGTGGCTTCTTTATCTCCTGTAGTCAGGTGGATTTCTAGGGAATTTAACTCAACTGCAGATAGTTTAGCAAAATCAAGCGTTTACAGAGAAAACCTGTATAGTGGCACCTCTATTCCTTGATTATAGGCTGTGTTTTTGGCTGTTTTGGCCTGTTGTTCTTCCCATTTTCCCCTCATTATATTAATATAACATCTTGATATCTTGCCTAAAAAAAATTGAGATATCCCTTTTTATTTGCATAATTTGTGGGTTAGTGATCCTATTGTATTCCATTTATAATCTGATTTGGCCCATAGCCTTAATTTTTTAGGGGTTAGGTTCATGTCCCAACTGTTGTGTTTCCTTTTTCAGGATATTAATGTATTACTGGTATAACTGAGGAGGGTGTGGGAGGTAGTCTCCTTTAAAGGGAGCCTTGTGATGCCCGATTTAGTTATTAGCTTTAACCTGTGTAGGAGGAGGTAGGGGAGGATTTATGTTCTGAAAAACTGGGTTAACCAATTCATGGAGGACATAAGGTCTGAAAAACTGGGTATCAAAAGCCTATTCTGACCTATCCTTGCAAGAAAAAAGGAGATAATGCAGCATGGTGAGAAGGAATAACACAAGTATCAAATTACAACTCTTTCTAGGCAATATTATTTTTAAGAGCAAATTCAGGGATGAGAATAATAAGAACTGAAATACAACTTACACAAAATAGTAGTCAATTTTACCTCAATAATCCCTTTACTCAAGTATTGATAAATGGAGTATACTCCTTTCAATGCAGTCAATAATTACTCTGATCATTACACTCTTGCAATACCAAAGTATTTCCTTGATCAATGCAAGATTTCTAGAATCCAGCATTTTCTTATAAAATAAGCCTAAAAGATGCTAATAGAAAACTAACCACTTGTGGTGGCCACATTAGACATGATTTGTTACTATGAATTGTAGCTTTTGTTTGATGTCTTCATCATCAAATCCTAGCTTTCTTTGAGAAGGAGATCATCTCAACAATGATGAAACTAACTAATTTGACTCTTGCTTTCTTTTCTGTCTTCGTTTATTTTGCTTATTATAATCTTCATCTTATTATAAATTCGACAAATATGGTTGGTGGATTCAACAAATGTGGTTAGTGGATTCATTGATATCAAACCAATTCCAATTAATGACCTTAAAGTGGATCTTGCTGTTTATGATAACCCTTGACATGATTCTGCCTTAATTAACTCATTGAGACTGTTAATGTTACATGTTACATGATTGGATACAGAATGAAGAACAGTATACTTATAGCAGCATCTTATAGCAGTTTAGATACTAATGCTCATATCAAAGGGAACTGACATATATTTTTTGAAGTTTCAGTAGGTAATCTACATTACTCAACATACACCTAAAGACTTGATCTCAATTAGAATGTGCATGGATCAATAACAGTATGGTTTAAACAACAGTGATAGAACCTAATCTCCATTACAAAATATCAATGGTAACTGTTGACTTCTTAGGAAATATGAACAGAATGAATGTAGTATTGATTATCTCATGCTTGCTCTTTGACATGCCTTTTTTCCAACCAGATTCATTTGACTGTTGTCACCATGCAATTCGAGCTTCCTTTCACTTGTTTTGAATTTTTTATATTAATGTTCATTCAAATATTAACTATCATTTATCAGCATCATTATCCAAAATTGAGAGAATTATTCTTTCTATGTTTTTTGATGGACTGATCGTACTCCAAGAATGGTTTATGAGAAGTATTAGTGTTAGAGAAAAAACCTATTCAAGAACCTCACTTAACAGCTTAAGCTTTTAGGTTGAATGATTCTCTAAGAATTAGCATAAATATAACTAGCATATATGGTCTGTTCCATCCCTTCCACTCAATACGATAGTTAACAGAAATGGTATTTTCACTTTTTGCTCAGAGAAGCTCCTGTTGCTTCTGGAACTCATGGAGAGGGTATGAATTGAAACTGGGTAAAAGGAATTCTTTTATCAGAATATTTTTGAATGCAGTCATCTTCAGCATGTTGTCATTAGTAACCTGTCATGCATTACCCAGTAGGAGAAGGTAATGGGATGTCACAAATAAAGACAGTAAGTAACAATATAGATTCATCATTAATGAATCAAGAAAATAGTTGTTCTCAGTCATCATTTTCTTTTGATAAGTAAATAAGAAAAGATATCATCCATCTTTTCCATCATGGTAGGAACCTTTTCCATGATCTCTTAAAGAAGGCGCATTCTTTAAGAAAGAAAATTTTGGATTTGTGTCCTTCATGTGTTATCTTCATTGCCTAATTCTGTTAGCAGATACTAAATAATGATAAAACCAGCTTCTGATTTGTGAAATCGAATATAAGATAATTCAAGAAAACAATGAAAAACTTTCTATTTGTAAAGGAGAAAAAAAAAACAAATTTATTAATATATCAATTCCATGAGCAACTGGGGATCTAAAATACCCTTCAGTTTCCACTGGAAAACCTTGGGAATAAGTAATCACATCCAAAACTAAATAATTTCACTTGAAATAAAGAAAGGGAAAAGGGGATAGTAGTAGAAATCTTCACAACACTATGACACGTAGGCTTTAATATTACCCCTTCAAAAAAAAAAATAAAAAGAAAAAAATTAACTATGATAGGAACTTTGACATGATAGATTTTAAATTATGATATAACCTTGTTTTCTAATATCCCATTAAGATATGAAAGCAGTTTAGATTATTGGATTTCCTCAACTATTTCCTCATCTTTTTTAAGTTAGTTGCTCTTCTAGAATCATTCTCAAGATGTGAAAGACTTTGGTTTTCTACTATTCTTCCACAGATTTTGTTTAGGGCATAACCATATATTTCTATACCTGGAGCAAAGCAAGTTTTTTTTACCTATTTAGACTCCTTGAAGTACATGCTGATATTACTAAGTCAGTACTTTTTCATATTTTAACATCTTACAGACTGTAAAATACTAATATTCCACATTGGGGCTTATCCACCATTCCATAAAGTCTTACATGATCACTTATGAACCCACCAACTCCATCAGAAAAGTGTGACCAAACCTGTAAAAATGAGTTCACCAAAAGCCCAGATATCTGTAACAAAAACATAATAACCAACTGAAATCCAATAGGGGAGTAATTACCTTGCTTATATTATCGAACAACAGTGGACATTATTTTCTCCATTGCTGAATATCTTGATATTCATCTTCAGCACATTAAATCTACAGTATCTAGTTACAACAAACGTATTCCTGATACACAAATAATTTCTCAACACTATGATCCATGTGATTTTCTAGAACATAATTTCCACACAAATGTTTCTGAAGGAACTCCCATATATAAACTGCTATAATTACCTTTGTCTCAACTTCTAATAAAAAAATGTTAGATTCAATGAATAATAATATTATTGTTTGATAATATTATATCTATATTATCAAACATTTTTTACACTAATAATAATAACAATAACAACAATCTAACGTTTGTTATTTAAATTCAAAAATAATAATAAATATTACTAATGTTTGAGAATAAGACTTTTTACTTTCAAAAGGTAATAATAATTATTATTATTATTATTATTATCATTATTATTATTATTATTATGAATTTTGTTTGAGAGATTCCCCACTTCTAGTTGCTTGTGTACTAATTGTGAACATTTACTGCAAGTGGATAGTTCATCAGCTGGTATAAATGACCCTTTGGGCTTTTAAAGAGCAAAGAGAAAAACAATATAAACTATTATCTTTTTCTGTTAACAATTATTTTTATCTTTGCATGATTCTAGTAACTTTTTTAAAGATGATTTAAAAGAACTGAAGCAACCTTACGTATGTTGAAAATGTTTCCATGAACTTTATACTCCCACTCATCAAATGAGTTAAATACCACAAAGAAATGCTGAGGATTAATATTATTGCGTAACTCGCTAAACTTTCCTTTTGTGTAACTTTTTGCTTTTTGTATACCCCACCTATGAATTACGATTATAATAATAATAATAATAATAATAATAATAATAATAATAATAATTCATAATCTGAAAAATGAAAGATACACTTTGAATTACATAGGAAAATATAAAAGGGAAATGAAAAAATAAATGGTAAAGCATTGCTTACATTGTCTGGTGTTCAGATACGTACGTACGCTAAAGGAAAGACAATACCGACACGAGTAATGCTAACAGCATAGATGCTTAATTGTTGCAGGCCTCTCAAAGCTTGCCATAGAATTGTCAATCTGAAAATTGAGACTCAAAACGACTGTCTAAGGTAGATAGCAAAAGGAGATAGGTATTCGTTCTTGTACGTCTTCTGATGATAATTGCAAGTTGCTCATAGCACAGTAGGTAGAATGTATTCGATCGAGATAGTCGAGCTCCCAATTTTCAGAAAAATTAGGGAAGTCGTTATTGTTGCTGTTGTCGCAGAACAATCCTTGTGATACTGCATTTTCGTGCTGGTTGAAGATCGAACACGGGCTCGACTTGTTGGTGGCAGCCATGAAAGGTTCCACAACAATGTCATTTGTAGTCGCCTGATGCTCTACTGAGTAAGAGGTTGCTCCTTCAACCTCAGCAGCTACCATGTTCACGGAAGACCTCCTTTCATGGCTGTGGGAACCCATCCATTCATCATATCCATATTCTCCGGGGATCGCTTCAGCAGGACATCTTTTTGATTCTTCAAGGCTTCTGCTCCATATCTTCTTTCTTGTCCTTTCCCTCGCCCTTTCTCTTGCCCTTGCCCTGGACTCTCTTGCCACAGGATGAAATCTATTTTTGTCTTTCACTGATGATTTCTTCGCGGCGGGCATGGTCCCCTGCCAGTCTCCGGCGTTGGCGGCCTCATCAACTCCTGACACGGCTTCACATTGAGACGTCGAAGAAACACACTTGGAAAAACCGCTGTAGCTGGGTTTCATCTCTGGCAGGCCTTGGGCAAGCTCCCTGATAGCAGCCTTTGACTTTCTCAGAAGCCACTCCACAGTTTTACTTGCTTTGTCGAAGCCGAGCATGTCCTGAAGATCGAAGAACTTACGAGCAATTTGTAGGGACAATCTCACTCTCCGGTCTCTCGGGCCCTGAGAAGTAAAAATCTTACTGTGACGATCTTTCTTTCTGCTGGATCTCTTCCGCAGTATCTGCCGCTCAGGGGAGATGCGACCAGCGCAGTTGTTTGTGTTCGAGGCATTGACATCGTCGATCGGTTTGTTGTTGACATTATGGTTGTCGTACTTGTGGGTGGCTGCGGCGGCAATCACTGGATCAGCTACGATGGTGTTGGGACTGAGCTTCGTGCTCAATATCTGCTGTGGTAGCAATTGACAAAAAGGCAGCTCGTAGTGGCGTTGAAAAAACATGCCACCATCGTTGTCATCGTCTTGGATGTTGTTGCAGCAGTCAATAAAGAAAGGAGGAAAGTTGAAGAAAGATGAGGGAGTAGTCTCCTGTTTGGAGTTGAAGTCACCGGTCAAGTTTCTCCACTCCCCCAACATGGCATAGTCGGTGAACGAAACGGAGTTACCAGTAACACTGTTGAAGGAAGCAGGGAACATCTGCACCTCCTCCAGTTTGTACGGACGAACGTGGCTAAGGATTTCTCTCTGTTTCAAGTAGATTAATCCTATAAAACAAAACCACTTGGGTGTGGCATCTCATCTCTTGCACCATAACCCATTGCATAGAGAGTGCCTTGTCCCTTCTCTGCCGTGTTGGGGCTGATGGAGGTTGAGAAAGATAAGCCCTCCATCTCCATATATAGAGAGAAGGTAGGGTGGGGTTTGATATGGCGAGTGATCAGGAATCAAGCCCGGCCAGATATACTGGTGTTTATTGCGGACAAAGAGTTCTCTTTTTCCGCCATCTTTTTTCTCAGGTGGGCAAGTTATAGTGCTCATTAATACTGGACCATGTGAGAGAGAGGAAGCCACGTTGTGGGAAGTGAGTGGATGTAAACACTTGGTTGGGTGCCACTTCACGTGGGAGCAGTGTGTGTAGATATTTGTGTAGAAACCGTTTTAAGTTTTTTACTTTTCAAGTTCGTTAACAAGGTGAAGGTGGGTAAAAGAGTATGCTTGCAACTTTGCATGGGTTCCATGTATTTAGAAGAAAGAGAGGGAGAGAGAGAAACGGAGTTGTACTGCAGAATGAATGCAGAGAGAGAAGGGGAGATGATCCCAATAGCCTGAATTTTATTGTGGGGGTTAATCGTGTCCATTTCTATATTTAGGACCCTACCCCATATGAGGACAATTAATTCACACCCAATCGAGGGGCATACAGGTATAGTTGGTAGTAGGCAACACTCTTTTTGGAGCTTTGACTGGGCCAGTCCTAGTCGGCAATCGTTTTCGTTAAAAAGAGAACCCCATCGCAGTCGCTCCACTGAAAGCATTTCTTCTCTGTTTTTCTCCTGTTCTGCCTGTATCTAACCCTATGTTGGAATAACTTTGAGATTCCTCATTAATTTCTTTCGTGTTTGAGTTCCCCCACTGACGCGTGCTTATCGGGTTCTATCTTTTCTTTACTGGCTAGCCAAAAAGTTAAAAAGCTGCCTCCCCCCCCCCCCTCTCTCTCTCTCTCTCTTATAAAGAAGATACAAGAAAGGTTTGGCTTAGGCTCGTCCTTGCCATTGATATTCACGAGACCATCTCCAAACCCTATTCGAGCACCGTATTCCACAAAGCTCAACACTTGCAACTTTTGTATGAAAATGCCAATAGTCCTGGCCACAATCGAATGCCCTCTTACAGAACCCCTTTACATTTATGCATGCCGTTCTTTTCTGACTTATCTTTCTACATCTCTCTCTCTCTCCTGCACTACTTATACGCTTTAGAGGGGCATAATATGAACAAGATAGCTTCGACAAATAGTCATGGTCTACGTTTGTATCCATCGGATAATGGCTTTCATTTCACTAGATAAAAGAGATAAATTTATTTGATTTCTCTTTATCTACTCTCCCTCACCCCACTCCCCCACCCAAGTAAAAATCCTATCTAGCTCCAATAGGTATAATCACTATTCGGGGACGCATTTATTCTACTGTTTCTTCATGTGTTTTAGTCATCGTCAGATTGCATCGGAATCAGGATTGACATTGGGGGTTGAACCATTGTCCACAGTAAGTATTTGAGTCACTTCTACAACAGTTGCACAGCTGCTCCTGGCTTTCCGGGTTCTGAAGCTTTATTTGTTAAACTGCCCTGTTTAAGAAAGAGAGGAAAAAGTATAAACTCGGACTTCAAGGACACCTTGTACACCTGGGGAAAGTCTGCCTTCTAGGTCCTAATTTTCTAGCAAGATGTGAAGATGGGTTAATAGGTCTACGTTGGTCTTATCATGAACATCTGGGGGAAATTAATGTTGCTGGGTTCGATTGCTGTCAAGCTAATCTGGTGGTATCCATAAAAAAACACTCATCTGGGGTATAAACCGCTAGTTGGGTTTGATTGCTTTCAAGCTGATGAGCCGCCTAACATTAATGTACGTGCACCTTACCTGTGGCCTCCTACATACGTCTTTCACATGCAAGATACCATCAACCATTTTGTCAACCTCCAAATTGATGGCACAGTAATCAAAATGATAACCTGTAGAGACAAGATACAAATGTAACTCATTCATGAGGTCTTTAAAAACTTTGTCAAAGATAAGGGTAGATTTAGTTTCAGCAGGATGTTTGTTGTCATCTGCCTTTGTTCTTGCATCTAAAATGATTCAGTTGCACAAGTCTGATAAAATCTAACATGAAATACATTGAATTGATTTCAAATTTTCATGTTGAAACTATTTGGAACCAAAAACTAATCTTCAATGTTTGGTGCTTTTTTTTAGCCGGGTTTACCATTTTATATTTGAACTATAGCTTGCATCTTCAAACTACTATGTTTTTTTGGTCATAGAGATTTTAGAATGCTTGATCAGTCACCATTACCTTAATTAAGGTAACTTATAATTAACTTAGATGATTTAATTTGGAGGTGGAGTGTCTAATGAATTCACTACTTAAACTAGGTGAAACAACTATTGATTGCATTATCAACTACTAAACTTAGCACAAGAATGGAGATTAAAACACTTAAGCCAGCTACATATCCTGTTTTTCCAATTCCTATTGCTGAACCACCTAACAACTTACACTTGAACCCTGCACTCAACAAGCTCATTAATTAGGCAAACCTTTCACAACCACTATCTCCTTCACCAGAGCCTCACAATACCACCAATGTTTCTCATTTTCCTCGTTACCTTGAGGCATATCTTAGTGGTATGACCATGAGTGATTCATCCACTCCTACACCATCTTCATCCATTCTAAGTAATTAAATATTCTCTCTCTAATGTTTTATCATATGATCAGCTATCACCTTCTCAACGCTCAAGCTTTTCCCATAGCCATCTTATTTGTTTTGAGCCTAGGACATGCAAGCAAACTGCTCAGGATCTAAAATGGTATGATGTCATGTCTAGAGAAATACAAGCAATTGAAGAGAACAACACATGGACTCTTGCCACTATTCCTCCAGGTAAATGAGCTATCAAATGAAAATGAGTCTATAAGGTGTAAGGTGAAATACAATCTAGATGCAACAATAGAGCACTACAAGGCACAATTGGTAGAAAAGGGTACAACTGGAAAGGAGGTGTTGATTATCATGATACCTTTGATCTTGTCGCAAAACTCACTACTATATCAGTTCTATTGGATGTGGCAGCAACTAACAATTGGCATTTACATGTCAACAATGACTGCCTTTGTGGATATTTGGAGGAGGAATACTCTCATTCTATGTACGAGCTGAACAATTCCTTGTATGATTTGAAACAAGCAGCCTAACAATAGTTTGTCATCACTATCTCCCATGTTTCCATCCAAATTAGTTTTGTCCATCAAAATCTGACTACTCTCTTTTTGTGCATTGCATTGGATCCATTCTCACCATAATATGGGTCTATGTGGATGACATTGATGTTGCGCAATCTAGGCACTCTTAACTAGCAACTGACTGGTTCTTTGCTGGCGACGGACGATACCTGAGAAGATAGCGGTGAAGGATTCTTAGGGGATTTGCCCGGTGGGAATACTCCGATGCTTAAGTTAGAACGCTGGAGAAAGTAGTAAAGAGTGTAAAGAAGGCTAAGAGTGTAGGTCGCGCTAGATCACTGAGTTAACTCAAGAGAAAGTTCGAGATATTCAAGATAAGATATCAGATATTTGAGAGAGCCCTTTCCTTCAGCTAGGGGGCTCTTATATATGAGCATTCTTGTCAAATCGGGCGTAATCGCCACTGGACCTCTGTCGCAGCCGTTATCTGCCAGGTCTGCGCAAGTAACCATTGAAGTGTACTACCCAATCGGATGAGTGCCACGTCCCGGAAGAACAGACACGCCACCACCTATTAAGAGACGTGGGCACAGACTTGTCGGGTTGGCAGGGAATGCGTCACCTATCAGGAGACGTGGCGCAGTTTGACGGGTACGGTCTTGTCAGATAGAAGTTTCCTGAAAACATTGTGTCACTCAATAGAGAGCTGCCCTGTAGCGAGCTACCCTGTCGCGAGCTACCTTGTAGCGAGCTTTTGAGGGTAATGCGAGGTGATTCCTCCTGAAGTGGCCCTTGAGGCAGTTTTTCTGCCTAAGTATTGGAGCGAGTTGGTTACCCTAGCTCGCGAGCTGGGATAGACTTGTCTTGGAGTATTCCCTTTCAGTACATCGGGGGTCCTTGAGCTCGCATTGTAGTGGTTTCCCCCTGTAGCGAGCTATGACGTAACGAGGTGTCCTGCGGGCCCGTTACTTAGTCGCGGTCAGGCTGTGATTCTGAGCTACCACTTGTACTGAGTCGTGTCCACGTGTCACCGTCTCAAGGGGTCGGGCCAAATCACCCTCCATCAATTGCCCCCCACTCCTCGGGCTAAGAGTGTTACCTTAGCGTGAGGAGTTCATGAAGTGTGACGGGTGGATTTGACTGAAGTTCAAACTTGATTGATTGTTCGCACTAAATGTGTGCACGGAAGTCAGGGGATTTTTGACTTTTCAAACACCGAGAAACGTGCCAAAGTGGCTCTTAACTTCGGAGGTCGTGCAACCGTCATTACCTCAATCATGGAAGACGTGCAACCAATCACATTTCAGTTTCAGAAGATGTGCGGTCAGCTTGACTGCGGACCGTCAGATCTGTCTCAATCCGAGCCGTTGATTTGAGGGCACAGTGGCCATAAATAGGGGGGCCCCAGGCCCTTGTCTTCGGATTTTGAGGTCGAGTCTCCATCTAGCTGCCCGAGCTCTTTTCCCGTTCACACCGTCTCTTCTTTTCTGGTGAGTCTTATCATCTTGTCAGTATGTTTGGATATCCATACCTCGTCTATTCCCGGGACAGTAACCGGGATGACGCCCCCTCGATCTCAAGGAGAGCTTGGGGGCAGGCTCTGGAGGCTCGGGAGGCCTCCGGCGAGACGACTTCCACTTCTCGGTGCAAGGAGCCCGACAGCTTCGGTCCCTTCTCTATGTCGATGGAGAGACTTAGATCTTTAGTTCTTCATTTTAACCTTCCCAGAGACCTCATCTACAGTCTCCCTTCTGGTAACTTTCCCTGGGAGCATGGTCCCAATGAGATAGTGATCTTTCAGGAACAACTCGAGGTTGGCCTGCGTCTTCCTCTGCATCCTCTGATAGTGGAGGTTTTGAACCATTTCAACGTCACCATTGAATAGCTTCACCCCAACTTCATTCGAAATGTAGTTGGGACTATTTCCCTGTTTTATGAGTATTGTCTTCCCCTCAATCTTGATATCCTCTCCACCATCCTCTGCATCAAGAATGCTTCTCCCGGAGCGCCTCCAGAAAGGCGTTCCTACTATTTTTCTCCCCGCCGCGGCTTCAAGCTCTTATACGAACTGCCGAACAGGATCCCTTCC